CCAGGCCACCTCCAGTGACCTTCCCCAAGCTTCAGGGTACTTAAGGACATGAGGTACTAAAGGGTGAGCTAAGCTTGTACCAAGTGGAGAAAATAAGAGGGGCAGGGCAGTCGAGACAGGCAAGAGAGGAGGGGCCCCCAACCCTGTTGTCCCAGTAGGCTGTCCCTTCCTTTGGCAAACAAAGAGTGAGCAGGTGCCCCTGAGGAGCCTCAGATGAGGGCACCATCTCCCCTGGAGGCTTCCTTCTGGCTAATGATTCCCTCGCCCTCCCTCCCCAGCCCTTCCGAGAGACTGTGTCAAGAAGGGTGGGCCCCTGATGTCTGGGGCTGGCTGTCTGACTTCCATTTCTGCTCCAGTTCCCCTCCCAGGCCTGAGGTCAGGCCTTTCTAGACTCGGGGGCCTCCTGAGAGAAAGGAGGACCTTTGGTACCCAAAGACTCCCAAGACTCAGGGTTTGCCCCACAATTCCCTGCACAACACAGGGATGGAGGAACCTTTGACACACATTACAAGTGTGAATGGTGCCTGGAATTGTGCAATGCAGTGATCAGGGCAGGACTGCTAGAAAGGAGACCCTCTGCCATTGCCGAAACTTTCCAGTGATTCATTCAGGAAAGATTTCCTCTGAAGCCTGCTGGGTCCTGAGCTCCAAGGATCCAGATGCCACAAAACTGACTCTGTCTTCATGGATCTCATCTTCTAGCAGAGAGAACAAACACTAATTGAATCATCATAGAAAGAAATATATTCTTACAGGCTCTGATGAAGCCAGGGAAGGCCAGGGTGCCAGGTAGGGGTCTACATTGCCAGTCTCATCTAGATGAGCCCCCATCTCATGTGAGGATCCTCACCTGGGCTCCCTACAGGTCCCTTGGTCTGGGTGGGGCCTAATACCCTATTCCAGACTCTCTAGCCTCTCATGTGGCTGGATTATAATGTCTAGGCTCCCCACGTTCAAAGACAAGGTGATGAGTGCCTTGCTTCGTTTTTATTTCCATTTTGAAATGGGACCTCGGGCTCTGGAGTCATTGGCTGTGGGTTTCACAGGTTCTCCCCACACTGTTACAAATGGCCTGTTTTCTCTGGGGGCAGGAGGTGACATGACTCTGGGACACAGGCCTGCCCCCTCCAACAGCTCTGCCACTCCCTTCCATCTGCAGGAAGCCTACTGTGCCTACGCCATCATCCTCATGGCGCTCTACTGGTGCACCGAGGCTCTGCCCCTGGCTGTCACCGCCCTCTTCCCCATCATCCTGTACCCCATGATGGGCATAATGGATGCCTCCGAGGTAAACCTCCCCCATCCACAGGAGGAAGGGCTCCGGGGGATGGTGGGGGTCTGCCCTAGGATACTGGTGACGGAGGAAGCCGCATCGTAGGCAGGGGTCCCTCCCTGTTCTTGGCAGATCAGAGAGCACTGAGGGAGGAGTCAGCTAGAAGACAAGAGAGGAGAGCACTCTAGAAATGCTGAGTGCGTGGTTAATGTCGAGAGTTAATTCAAAGTGGGAGTGATTAAGCTTAGGCCAGGGAGGTAGAGAGGCCTAGTGACTCAGGAAAAGGGACTTTGAAAGCCAGCTGAAGAGCTCATAGCCTTCCAGTCCAAAACCTGAGCTGCAACAGGGTCACCTGCAGGGCTGGTTAACACACAGATTACTGGGCCCCACCCCAGAGTTTCAGCAGATCTGGGGCAGGGCCTATGCATTTCATTTCTAGATTCCAGGTTGGCGGTGATGCTGGCCCAGGGTTTACACTTTGAGAACCATCACTCTAGTTTCTAGGAACAGCATTAAATTATCTACCTCCCAGTTGATGGCTTGAAACACCAGTGGAATGAGGCTAGATTATCTCCCCGTCATTCTTGAAGGGAGAAAGAATGAGTTTGGAGGAAGAGAGGAACCTGGTTAACATTAAATGACTGATAATCCCCAGAACATTTCCATTTGGTTCCAAGACCCCAGCAGACCAATCTCTGTGGGAATGTCAGTGACTGCATGCCATAAGCCCAAGGGCATAGTGGGAGACCCCCTCCTGCCTCTCAGCTGTCCCTGCCCACCAGGTCTCCATCGAGTACCTTAGGGACACCAATATCCTGTTCTTTGGGGGGCTGCTGATGGCCATCGCCGTGGAGCACTGGAACCTGCACAAACGCATCGCCCTTCAAGTGCTCCTCATCGTTGGGGTGCGGCCTGCCCTGTGAGTTCCCACAAACCAGGACTGGAAAACCAGGGGTGGGTGGCGTTCTGGGCATCCAGTCCCTGAAGGGATGCTGGAACACCAGTGTGTGCATCTGTTCATCCCTAGGCTGATGCTGGGCTTCATGTTGGTCACCGCCTTCCTGTCCATGTGGATCAGCAACACGGCTTCCTCAGCCATGATGGTGCCCATCGCGCACGCCGTCCTGGAGGAGCTGTACAGTGTTCCCAGGGGCAAGGACATTGAGGAGGGCAGTGAAAACCCCACCTTTGAACTCCAGGAATCAGGTTCCCAGAAGGAAGAGACCACGCTTGGTGAGAAAGATGAGGTGGACCCTGCCCCAACCTCTCTGCTCTTGGGGAGAGTCTGAGGTGACATCCATAACAGGGGTGGTCATCTTGGAGCCTCTAGGGAGAGAAGAGGGAGGCAAGAAGTGCGGTGACCAACTTGTCCTGATTTGCCCGGGACTTTCAGTCCCACGTGCTGGGATTCTCAGTCCTGGGCAAACCAAGATGCTGGGTCTTGGCAAGCGGAGAGCTAGAGCCTGGGTGGCCATCAGGGGTCCAGGTTCCATTCTTCCTGTGTGGTTTAGATAAACTTCTCCCCTTCTCTGTGCCTCAGTTTCTCTCTCTCAAGAGAGAAGCTGAGCCACATGGTATTTGAGAGTCATCCCAGCCTGAGAGTCATCCCAGCCTGAGACTCCGGGAGTGCTGGCCCTTGTAGATCTGGTGGCAGCTTCTGCCCTCCCCCAACCCTAAGTCTAGGCTGCTCACTGACAAGGTGCCCCAGAGGCCGTGGAGCTCCAGCCAAGCTCCCTGGAGCTGGCCCTGCACACACCCCCGCCTGAACTCTCCCTTGTTCCCAGATAACGGGCAGGTCCACCCAGTCCCGCCTGCTCCTTCAGAGCCCAGGGCAAAGCAGAACCAGGAGCAGGTCCGCTTTACCCAGGGCCTGAGCCTGTGCGTCTGCTACGCGGCCAGCATCGGGGGCATCGCCACACTGACTGGCACCGCCCCCAACCTGGTGCTGCAAGGCCAGATGAACACGTGAGTGTCTGAGGGGTGGGGAGCCTGCACTCTCAATGGGGGGCAAATGGGGCAGGGTAGAGGCGGGGCCATGTCATGCGGCAGCCCTCATCTCCCTTCAGGCTCTTCCCCAAAAACCCCAATGTGGTGAACTTCGTCTCCTGGTTCAGCTTTGCCTTCCCCACCATGGTCATCTTGCTGGTGCTTGCCTGGCTGTGGCTGCAGATCTTGTTCCTGGGGTTCAAGTAAGTGGTGGAGTAGGTGAGAGAAACCCAGGTGCCTGCCCTTATCCTCTGAGAGCTTCCAGTTGGGTACCCAGGTAGCCATGGCAGAAAAGGATATACTCACCATCCCACGGAGAAGGGCTCTCCCTCCTAAGGCCCCTCTGTACACTTGGCCCCCCCATCTGAGGGAATTATTAGATGGAGAGTATTACCCCATTTAGCAGATGAGCAAACTGAGGCTTGAAGAGTGGTATACAACTAGATTTGTCAGTGCTGCGATTGAAAGCCAGGTCTCCTGATGCCCAGGCCAGGTCCTACTCCATAATGCTCCACAGTCCTTTGGTAAAGGCTTAAGGAGCACATGCTGAGCATCGTCAGTTACAAAAGCATTTGTTGTGCTCCTACTGTGTGCCTGGCTAGGTACTGAGAATACTACAAGACACTAGGCATAGTCCCTATCCTTGGAGCTCACCATCTGACGGGTGATGATATGGTGGCGGCCATGAGAGACGGAAGCCCAGCTACTGTGAGCATGGCCCAGGAGAGTGGAGATTCCAGAAGGGCCCTGGAGGAGATGATGCCTGAACTGAATCTTGTGGATCTAGAAGTCAGCCAGGTAGAGAGTTGGGTAAAGGCATTCCAGGAACAGCTTGTACAAAGGCACAGGGGCAAGAAAAAACATGTATTTGGGGGAACTCTAGTCCTGCGTGGTTGAAGCATAAAGAGCAAAAAGGAGTATCAGGAAATGAAGTTGGAGAAGTAGGCAGGGGAAGATTATGGAGGATCTTGGGTGCCGCATAAAGAGTTTGGACCTTGTCCTTGAGGCCAAGAGTAGTAAATAGGTTTTATTCTTACTTGCAACCCTGGATTATTGGTAGTCACTACAGGTCTAAGTTGAAGATCACGTGAGATAGGGCTCAGTTAGAACTGAGTCTGGGATTGATTAGTGATGTCTGCTATGAGTACAGGATTAGAGTGGTGATATGAGGGGTATTACGGTATGATTTGTTAGTGGCCCTTCCTGTCCAGACAGTGGGGAGCTATTGAAAGTTTTTAAGCATTGTTGCTGTACTTTGGGAAAATCGCTTGGGTGGGTGCAAGGAGGCTGGATTGAGGTTGAGGGCTGGTACAAGGCAAGGTGGTAGTCAAAGAGATCAGCACAGTGCCAGGCACCACAGGGGATTCAAAGATGTGTGAAGCATGGTCCTTGTCCTTGAGGAACTCACAGTCCAGCAGGGGAATTGAGATTTGCCTAAGTGCAAAGTTAAAAGTCAACACGAGTTAAGCAAGTGGCACACAGAAGTGGGCTGCAGACTCTTGTGCCTCTGAGGACGATGTGGGTAGGGATGCCCAGAAACGGGGAGGAGAGGGAGGGGAAGGGTTTCCTGAAAGACTGTTGGAGTCAGGGACAGAGGAGGCATGGGGTCTGGGCCTCTAGGTCCTCACTCTGGACAAGGAAGGACTCAGCACAAGGGAAGCCCTGGAGCCACAAGGGGCCAATGGGGCAGGTGCAGCAGGGCCGAGCATGGGGAAACTTGGCCCTCCAGCCCCAGCCTTACCTCTGCTAAATAAGAGCCATAACCTCCGAGAGTCTTCCGCCCTTCTTCCAGGATCTTAGGAGATCCCACTGTAGCAACCTTGAGGTGGCCTCCACAGGCTTCAGTCTTTCCATCACAGCCACTCAGAGCCCCTCGCTCCCCTGCCTGGTGCGGGCCCTCAGTAGCTGCCCCCGCCTCTCTGCCTGCAGCTTCCGGAAGAACTTTGGCATTGGGAGTCAGGAGGGGGAGAAAGAGCAGGCAGCCTACCGCGTCATCCAACTGGAACACAGGCTGCTGGGCCCCATGACCTTTGCAGAAAAGGCTATCACCGTGCTCTTTCTCACCTTGGTGATTCTCTGGTTCACCCGGGAGCCGGGCTTTTTTCTTGGCTGGGGCAACCTGGCTTTTTCCAACGAACATGGGGAAAGGTGAGCATTCTGGGGAGAGGGGGAATACTTCTGGGGCTCAGTGGGCTGAGGGAGGAGGGAAGGGAGCAGAGCCCCCAGAGCAGAACAGGTTACACTGGGGGTAGGGGAACTTGCCAGGAGTGGGGGTTGGTCCATCTGTGGGAAGGGCTCCTCTCCACCACCCTCCACTCTGTGACCCTGAGCAGCCTTGAGCCACTAAGCCTGCCCTCCCCACCCCCCTCATCTCCCCCGCCTTGCCCACAGCATGGTGTCTGATGGGACAGTGGCCATCTTCATCGGCATAGTTCTGTTCATCGTGCCTTCCAAGATCCCAGGGCTGACTCAGGATCCAAGTAAGTACCTGGACTGGGGCAGGGAAGGGCCCCTAGGCAGCCCCTGCCTCCCAGCACAGAATGTACCTTCAACCACACTTGGCAGGAGTAGACAAAGCCCAGAGAGGTTGGGGTGACTTACCAAGGGCACAGGGACTCAGGGACAAAGTCAGGATGTTGCAGAATGAAGGTCCGGCTCCCACATGCATCAAGCTCTGATAGGGACCCATGCAGAGAAGCGCCAAGTGGAGGGGAGGGAAAGCCTGTTGGCTCTTGGTGACTCATCCTCTTCTGCTTGGGGAGTAGGAGAACCGGGGAGGCTGAAGGCCCCTCCTGCCATCCTCGACTGGAAGACAGTACATGAGAAGTTGCCCTGGAATGTCGTGTTTCTGCTGGGAGGTGGCTATGCCCTGGCCAAGGGCAGTGAGGTGAGAGAACCCCACCCCTCCCCAGCCTGTTTGAGGGAGACCCCGAGGCAAGGAAAGAGGGGCCCTTCTTCTGTCCCACACAGGGGAGACCTGCTCCCCAATTGGGCGCCCCCTGGTGAGTAGAGCCTTTGCAGCAGCTAGAGTAGAGCCTCGTGTGAGGGAGGGGAAGGAAACACAAACCACAGGGACGTCTCCGCAGTCGGGTTCTCAAAGCCAAAGGGAAGGCAGCCTTCTCTGTTGGGCAGGGACTATTCTCAGGGACCAACCACCCTACCCCTCTCCACCCCCTCACCCCGAGCCGGAGAACGCAATAGCTTTAGCCCCTGCGAGTAGCTGGCGTTGGGTTGACACAGTCTACCTGCTGTGGCCACAAGGGGGCGCCATCATCACACGCAGCCAGGCGCTGGGAGACTCCACAGAGCCTCCATCCAACAGGGGAATCCCTGAACCTGCACCCCTCGGCGTCAGTGTTCTGCTAAGCTCATTCACTGCACAGATAGGAGGCAACTTCTTGGGTCAGGGATTGGTGCTAGGGCCTCTTGGGTCCAAGGTTGGTTCATCCATCAAGTGTTCACCGACTGTGTCAAGTACTGTGCTGGGTGCTGGGTGGGCAGTACTTTATGAGATAAAGTCGCAGCTCCCTCAGGCTCACCGTCTGGCATCACAGACGTGGGCAGGGCAAGACCTTGGCGCTCTTCTGACCCTGTGGACTGTCACCATCCTCCTGTCTGCCTCTTCCCAGCCTCTACCCTGACCCCACCCCTTGCCAAGAGCGAGGTCCCATCTGCCTCAGCCTGCTGGGCTGGAGGGGCCAGGGAGAGGGATAAGGTTGGCCAGGAACCTCCCAAGAGAGGTCGGGAGAGCAGGAGTAAATGGGGTCAAAGATCTTTACTCCCACCAAGCCCCAGGTTTCTCAAGAAGGTCCTTTGGCCCCCTCTCCTAGCTTCTCACTTGACCCTTCTCCCCACACCCAACTGTCCTTCAAGAGGAAGAGAGGGGACCTCTTGGTTCAAGCTGAGTCTTATCTTCCCTCTCAAGCTGCCTTGGCTCTGAAGACTCTAGAGAGGTCTGGGAAGGAGCAGGACCCTCCCAGAGCCTCAGCAGGGGACCGACCCAGGCAGCCCAGCCTCTCAACACCACCCTCCTCCGCCCACAGCAATCGGGCCTGTCACAGTGGCTGGGAAACAAGCTGACTCCACTGCAGAACGTGCCGCCTCCTGCCATTGCCTTCATCCTCTGCCTCCTGGTTGCCACCTTCACTGAGTGCACCAGCAATGTGGCCACCAACACACTCTTCCTACCCATCCTGGCCTCCATGGTGAGCTGGCCCTGCAGACATATCTCCCCCAGGCAGCCCTCCTATCCACCCCCACCCAGGGGTCCCGCCTGCAGGTCACGGTGACCTGTCTGCACCTCCTCTTGTTTCCAGGAGTGGACCCCTGAGCTTTCACCCTTCCCCAGGCTTTTCAGCCCCCATGGGCCCCAAGGCCCTTTGGCCCCTGACTCACCCTATCCCTGGTGACATCATCCCTTGAGTATCCTGATGGGGCTCACCCCCCACCCCAGACCAGTCCCTGTTCTGGTCATTCCTGAGGTGATGGGGTGAAATTGCTCCCGGGAGCGTCCCCAGCCCCTTCCACCCCAGGCGCATTCCCGCAGCCTTTGATGACACCCCAGAGCCCCTTTGAGATCCGTTTTATGGGCCCCTCCCCTCACCACGCCCCAAAGGGCAGAGCCACACACTCATCCCCTCCAGAGAGGTCAAGGGGCCCTTCCCAGGTCGCCCAGTGCCTTTCTGGCAGAAGTGGTGGGTTCACAGCCAGAGTGTGTATTGCAGAGGTTGTCCCTCAGAGAAGGGGCTTGGAGGCCACGACTTCCCCTCTGGGATGGGGACTGAGGTCAGCTCTACCCCTCTGTCTCCCCACCCAGGCTCAGGCCATCTGTGTCCACCCTCTCTATGTCATGATCCCCTGCACTCTGGCCACCTCCCTGGCCTTCATGCTGCCTGTGGCCACCCCGCCCAACGCCATTGTCTTCTCTTTCGGAGGCCTCAAAGTGACTGACATGGTGAGTGGCAGGGGGGCCCTCAGCACTCCCTCCTCTGTCTTCCCATCTTGGTGGACACAAAGTAGCTTAAAGCCACTGAGATTCTCAGAGTTGAGAGTGGACCCTGTCGGGGTGGGGAACAGCAGGGGAAGTAGGGACATGACGCCCAGTTGGAGCATCTTCAGGTCCTGCCAGTCCTGGGCCATGTGAGAGGGAGAAGAGGGGTGAGAAATTTTGGGAAGGCTCTAAGTTGCCAGGCACTCGCACCCAGGGAGATGGACTCAGAGAGAACAAGACCCAGGGCCCCGGAAGCTCATGAGGAGTTTCCCTTTTCTCTGTTAGCACTGGGAGTAAAGCAAGGGCAGGGGCATTGCCTAGTGCTGCAGGTTAGACACAAGGGAAGACTTCCTAGGGAGAGTTTTGCTAGCGAGAGATCTCCTAAACACCTAAGGGATGGGTCCCGGCCCAGCTCAGCACCTGCTCACCCAAACTGCCTTTCCTCACACCAGGCCAGGGCAGGTTTCCTGCTCAACATCATCGGGGTGCTGGTTATCACGCTGGCCATCAACAGCTGGAGCTTCCCCATCTTCAACCTGTATACCTTCCCCTCCTGGGCCCACTCCAACACCACGGCCTCCTGCAGGGTCAGCCCGGAGAACATCACCACACCTACCCCCTAGACCAGGGCATAATCTGGCCAAGACTAGGAAGACCCACCTCAGAAGCCAGGAGGGGACACCCAGGCTCCAAGCCAAACATTGTGAGAAAGCCACATGTATACATGACCTCATGTGTGTCTGTAAGGAAGGTGTGTGTGTGCTCAATCCGGTGTGTCTGAGAAAAATGTGTGTGTGTGTGTACATATATATGTGCATATGTGAGGATGGTATGTCATGTGAGGATGTCTGAGAGGGAGCGTGTGTCATGCACATGATCCTAGGCGTGTATGCTTGACAGTGCACTTGCGTGAGCTCACAGACAATACAACAGGCCCTCTCTGGCACCGCGGGTCTTTATCTCCCCCACTTGGTGGGTGACCAGACCCCTTTGCACTGTATTTATTGAAACTCAGGATTGAGGTGGCCTGGGGAGCAGGGCCTACCAGCAGTTGCCATGGTAACAGCCTCTGGGACCAGCCCAGCATACTGAGGTCTCCTCAGCCTCTCTGGGTTGGGGGAGGGTTCCAATATTAGCCACATTAAAGTCTTTTTCAGTACAGTTTGCGATGGATTTTCATGGCACTTTCCAGGGCTGGTCCACAACAGGGTTCAGGCCCCAGGTTGGGGAGCACAGTGGGAGGGGACTTGGCCTCTGTCCTGTATGGTGGCCCCCTTGGCACCACTCCCACCCAAGGGAGAAGGTAATGGCTAGGAACCCTTGCCAAGACCAATCGGAGTGGGCGCAGCCACCCGGGAAAGCAGCGCTGACATCACCCGGCCCGGCTAATTGGGAGCTGCCAGTCCCTGCGTGTCTTCAGGAAAACCGGCCTCCCGTTCCCAGAGCACTCCCTGGGCATTTACATAAAACCCTCTGCCCCTGCCAGCTCCTGCCGACCCTTCCTCCAGCTGGAAAAACCAGTCCCACCAGACCAGGGGAGGCAGGCTGACCCTTGCAGGGCCCCAGAAAGATGGACCCTCACCCAAAATGGCAGCCTGCAGCAAGAAGGGTGCAAGTGAGACTCCCAGGAACACGTTCAAAATTGGCATGGCCTTCAGAGTCCAGGACCAGACAACACTCTGGATTGTCCTGCCTCCCCACCTCACCTCCATCCCTCCTCTGTCTCCCTGCCCTCGTGAACTCCAGAATCTTCATTTATGGCAAGATGAGGGTGGGGAAGGACGATACCACACCCATCATCCATTCTGGGAGCTCAACATCCCTTCTAGGCTGGAAGTTCATCTTTGTATCAATCCTAGATCTCTCTCGTTGTGAACAGTGGCGTGTAAGTCTTGAGTTCACCTAGATGGCAATTTCCAAGAGATTCATCCAG